CCATTTATGCAAAAAATCTTTCACTCATTTATGCAATTAGGTTTTCACCCATTTATGCAATTAGGTTTTCACCCATTTATGCAATAAGATTTTCACCTATTTATGCAATTAGGTTTTCACCCATTTATGCAATTAGGTTTTCACCCATTTATGCAACTAAACTCACCCATTTATGCAATTAGGTTTTCACCCCTATTTATGCAATTAGGTTTTCACCCATTTATGCAATTAGGTTTTCTCCCATTTATGCAATAAGATTTTCACCCATTTATGCAAGAAAACACCCCGTTTATGCAATTAGCAAAAGATCTCTTTAATGCAATTAGCAAAAGATCTCTTTAATGCAATTAGGAAAAGATCTCTTTTATGCAATTAGGAAAACACCTCATTTATGCAATTAGCAAAAGACCTCTTTTATGCAATTAGCAAAAGACCTCTTTTATGCAATTAGGAAAACACCTCTTTTATGCAATTAGGAAAACACCTCTTTTATGCAATTAGGAAAACACCTCTTTTATGCAATTAGCAAAACACCCCATTTATGCAATTAGGAAAAGATCTCTTTTATGCAATTAGGAAAACAAATCATTTATGCAATTAGCAAAAGACCTCTTTTATGCAATTAGGAAAACACCTCTTTTATGCAATTAGGAAAACACCTATTTTATGCAATTAGCAAAACACCTCTTTCTATGCAATTAGGAAAACACCTCTTTTATGCAATTAGACAAACACCCCATTTATGCAATTAGCAAAACACCTCTTTTATGCAATTAGCAAAACACCCCATTTATGCAATTAGCAAAACACCTCTTTTATGCAATTAGGAATACACCCCTTTTATGCAATTAGCAAAACACCCCATTTATGCAATTAGCAAAACACCTCTTTTATGCAATTAGGAAAACACCTCTTTAATGCAATTAGGACAACACCTCATTTATGCAATTAGGACAACACCCCATTTATGCCATTAGCAAAACACCCCATTTATGCAATTAGGAAAAGATCTCTTTTATGCAATTAGGAAAACACCTCTTTTATGCAATTAGCAAAAGACCTCTTTTATGCAATTATGAAAAAAAACCATTTATGCAATTAGGGACACCTCTTTTATGCAATTAGGAAAACACCCCATTTATGCAATTAGGACAACACCCCATTTATGCCATTATGCAATTAGGAAAACACCCCATTTATGCAATAAGGAAAACACCCCATTTATGCAATTAGGAAAACACCTCTTTCTATGCAATTAGGAAAACACCTCTTTTATGCAATTAGCAAAACACCCCATTTATGCAATTAGCAAAACACCTCATTTATGCAATTAGCAAAACACCTCTTTTATGCAATTAGCAAAACACCCCATTTATGCAATTAGCAAAACACCCCATTTATGCAATTAGGAAAACACCCCATTTATGCAATTAGCAAAACACCTCTTTCTATGCAATTAGGAAAACACCTCTTTTATGCAATTAGCAAAACACCCCATTTATGCAATTAGCAAAACACCTCTTTTATGCAATTAGCAAAACACCTCTTTTATGCAATTAGCAAAACACCCCATTTATGCAATTAGCAAAACACCCCATTTATGCAATTAGGAAAACACCCCATTTATGCAATTAGCAAAACACCTCTTTTATGTAATTAGGAAAACACCTCTTTCTATGCAATTAGGAAAACACCCCATTTATGCAATTAGGCAAAGTGGTGTTTACCACTTTATGCAATTACATAGAGAGAGAATTAAAACACATTTGAAATAATACTTAAAATTTTAGTTTTATTACTTTTGTTTAAAACATAATACTTCATTTCACAAAGGTTTGGTTCATATATACATATTTAAATACCTAATTTACATATTAATGTATGCAAATATATGCAAATTTATGTACATAAAGGAATATCATATCAACTCACATATAGCACTAAGAGAACTATAAATTAAAACATACTTTTGGGTGAAAATATATTAGCAATGTTGGCACTTTGTGGTTAATATTTTTACATATAAGGGGTTAAATGACTTCTAAATTTCAATCTAATCTAAAGACACCTTAAGCACTCTACACTTGTGACTCTTCACTAAGAGTTACGCTAACCTATATAACTTATTTGCTGTCTGATTCAAAAACTGAACATAAACGCTCCACCTTATTTGATAGCATCTTCACAACGTTCAGGGTATAACGTCTTCATCTTATACCTTGACTGCAATGGTCCATTTTCTTGTTTCACGGAAGGTTGTCAATGCAGTGATTTGATTGGATTGTACGCTAGTGAAGACAGCCAATCTGAGCCCTCAACATAAAGACTGTAATAAACAATTATGCATGAAATCAAGGGCTCTGATTGGCTGTATTTGAAGGTGTACTATCCAATCAAATCGCTGACTGTCAAATATGAAAGTGGGCTTATGCAGTCAAGGTATAAGATGAAGCTGTTATACCTTGACCATTGTGAAAGAGAATTGAAAGTACTATAAGTAATAATCAACACAATATAAATCTGACTTTGATCGTTTCAATTACTATTCATTCTACCTCAAAATGAATGAACTGCTCATATTAATTATCAAGTCTGACCCAGTGGATAGAGGCACATGAATAGCTTTACTTGACTGTACCTATACCTTGACTGCTATGGCACACTTTCTTGTTTTGCTATCCGAATAATCATCAGAATATTCAAACAGTACGCCTACATCAATTAACGACTTTTTATCTCTTATCGAATATTTATAGCTCATGCCACATGGGTGAACCTACAATTTTTTGTCACCAGATTTACTTCCTGCAGTTCAAGATTAATTTATGTCTTTGACACTCAATTATCCAGACATAAATTCAAGAATAATGTCTGGTTAATCTAGTTCAATTTCTCTGTTAACTGGATTATACAGATCATAGTTTCAATTATCCAGACTCAAATTAAAGATTAATTTCAAATATGTCTGGTTAATCTAGATCAATTATCCAGACTGTAGTTCAAGAAAATTTTTGAATGTCTAGATAATCTAGACTGAAGCTATGATTATCTAGACTTAACCATAAGAAGACTTGAATGAGAAATAAATTTGATTGGTAAATACAAAGTAGCTTAGACTAACCAGACTATGAATAGACAAAACAGAACTGAGTAGCCTATTTCTGGATAACAAAGTTCAAAATTGCCGTCTGGCCAACAGGAAGTAACTGTAACTAAGTTATCGCTGTTATCACATATGTTTCATATCCAATTTATGGTTTTTATAGTAATTGGGATAAAAATGGTTTCATTTAATAATCAAACTAAACCATCCCACCTATTTTATCAGTTCTTATTAATTTCCAAGACACAAATTTCATTAATGAGTTGCTTTTGTTTTGTGGATGTCGAAAGGTCTAAGACACCAATAAGTAAGGTTTCCACTGGATAGGTTGTCAATATACAGCTATAACATGGTCTTAAGGCTAGGTTTCCACTGGAAAGGATGCCAATATACAGCTGTAACAAGATCTTAAAGCTAGGTTCTCACTAGATAAGATGCCAATATACAGCTGAAACAAGGTCTTAAAGCTAGGTTTCCACTAGAACTACTTAACTAATAGTTATCAGATAACCCTTAGGCTAGGTTTCAACTGTTAAGAAAACCAACATGTAAGGTTGTTTTAAGCTAGGTTTCCACTAGAAAGGATGCTAATATACAGCTATAACAAGTTCTTAAAGCTAGGTTTCCACTGGAACTACTTAACTAATACTTAATCAATGGTGGCCAGAGGAGCATCAAGCTAGGTTCAACTGTGAAGAAAACCAACATGTAAGGTTGCTTTAAGCTAGGTTTCCACTAGAAAGGATGCTAATATACAGCTATAACAAGTTCTTAAAGCTAGGTTTCCACTGGAACTACTTAACTAATACTTAATCAATGGTGGCCAGAGGAGCATCAAGCTAGGTTCAACTGTGAAGAAAACCAACATGTAAGGTTGCTTTAAGCTAGGTTTCCACTAGAAAGGATGCTAATATACAGCTATAACAAGTTCTTAAAGCTAGGTTTCCACTACAACTAATTATACTTAATAGATAAGTGGCCAGAAAAGCATTAAGCTAGGTTTCCACTAGAAATATTTAAAACAAATGCCTATATAACAGGCATAATAATTGATAAATACCTACGTTAATGATAAGGAAATTTCTTTTGGGAACCTAACCTAAGAACATACATACTAAAATACATTAAATGTGAGGACTAAGTGGATTATTGGGCAAAAGTACAATTAAATCGACAGTCTAGAGCTCCAGTCAGACATGACTGGTAAATACAACCACACCAATAATCTAGAGCTCTAGTTAGACATGATTGGTTAATACAGTCAAATCAACAGTCTAGAGCTCTAGTCAGACATGACTGGTAAATACAGTCTAATTAACATTCCTTATATGAGATATTGTGCTTAAAGCTGAAAATGACCAACTCGTTCATTCTTTACATAACTTATGCGTAGTAATATGACAGCAAAAACTACAGAATTCAAGTTTCTTACGTTAATTTTACTTTCGGAATTTCCATCGCGATTTTCACCCCTGACGATAAAGATACACAGACAAATGATAATTTACATAATTGCATAAAAGCATGGAATGGAAGAATAACACAAGCTATCTGAGTGGATAAAATATAACAGTAACTATAGCAACCAGTATACAGATTAAAATTTACAGCAGAAACAAAGATTAAAATTTTAAAAAACAATTTTAGAAAGAGAAATGATTTTCAGATGAGGAATAAATGTTTACATAGCAACAGATATCATTTATTATAGTTTCATTGTTGCTAAGCAATATTATGTTTCCATGGAGACAATTCAAATTTCAGATGGCAGCCATATTGAGTTTCAATACTCCTATATACTCTTGCAATTATTTAAACATGGAGATACACATTATAAATTGTTTAATTTTTACAAGATCACAACACGTTCAGTTTGATGGCTGCCAAAGCTTGTTTGTAATGGAACTGCCTGACCTAATCTCCATATTTTCAGGGCAAGATGGCTTCTTCACAATTTCCCAAAAATAAAAATATATTTCTTTAAATCCAGGAGAATCATGACAAGACTTTCTGACGCCATGAAACCAATAACTACCTTATGCAGAGTTCACGGTAGTTGGAGACACCTTGCGTAAAATTTGTAAGAATTTTAACTTGGAGAGCCGAATTCAAACCCGAAAATTACAGAATTAGGACCACCATTACCCTAATAAGATCACAGTGCAAGATATTTGGTGAACACAAATCATGAATAATTCACAAATGATTCACAATGATTCAGTTTATCAATGAAAATTTCATTCATAAAACTTGATTTATCAATGAAATTGAAGACGTAATCAGTCATTGGTCAGCTTCAGTCACATGACTAGAAACCATGACACTTATCACAAGATGTTCTCTTCTTCCATTGGTCAGTGATGATTTGATTGACATTTCATCACTTTCCACTCCCTCTCTTCGATTCCAAATCATCATCTTCCAGTTTGCTTGAGACTGGTATGATCTTGATTTCATTTGATGATTGGATCAATCCAGACGTAAATTTGAGTGAAACTGACATGATTGACACTATCAGCACCAAAGTGGGTGGAGCCATAAATGAATATAAGTATTCTCATTGGTCCAACACCATGATGAATGGAACCAGAATGGATATTCTACATGCTGATTGGCTTATTAAGATGTTGTTGATGGCTGTAATGCTTTCTGTGGTTGAAGCTTCGCTAACGTTTCAGGTTTAGCGTCTGCACGTAAAATATTATTTTCGAACTCTAATTGTCCCACTCTTTCGACAAGTTCCTTATTTTGTTCCTTTAACACTTCAAATTCCTCGCGGACTGCAAACATCAAATGACTCTTCACCAAGTCCTGAAAAATATAAAGAGAATATTCATTAGAACCTAAGCTACTTTTTCATCCAATCAGCATTGGCTAAATTTTCTATTTAGTGGCTCACTTAATGTTAAGCCTTTTACAATCACATGACATTTTGACTGACAGATAATTTAAGTTTGAAGTGAGTAAGATCATATCAAGAAAAATTTGATTAAATGATCTGACTATTAATTATTTGATTGCTAAAAATATCCATTATATCATAAGTTCCAATCTGAATTGACCTCAATTCTGAAAATAAGGGAAATCCAGACCAAATCCAGGAAATTCTGATATTTGACAGAATCAATGACAGGTTGTCTTTCAGTGCCAGGAATCTAACATTGTAAAAGGAAGAACAGCTTAATCTCTGACAGAACTAATCTAGGGCTTTCTTAATGTTTTGACAATGATGTTATTGAAGATGCTAATGAGCTATTTTAAGCTTTCATTGTTTGATTATCAAGAGCTTATTTCAAGCTGACGTGTTTCAGATAAAGGAGAGATCAGCAATGACATCATAGATAATGGTATATGTATCACATGATATACAAAAACTTGTTGTAAGAGTGGCTTGTCCTACCATTTGTCCTACTCAAGGCACCTGTGCATTCTATTTATAGCCTATTATGGAATAACTAATCCCTCCTACTAATCCTCATCAGGCCATCCAAATTTTAAGGTAAACTGTGTTTATGCAAATGTTGTTGGAAATTGTATTGAATCTATGAGCTTTTTTAAGCTTCCATTGATCATTTGACAAGAGGTCAGATGATACAAGTTACAGTTTCTCTAAAACTTTCAAAAAGTCCATGAACGTATAAAACAATCAGCAAATTATTAGTTTTGTGAAAATATGGATTTTTCTATCTTTATCAATGAAGAGTTATCAAGATCATCGAAATTGCGCGACACCCAATAAATCTCTTTAAATTTCTGACTTGTGAAATATCGATTTGATCGTCTCCTGCAATTTACAAAGTAACGTCAAATTTAGACTTAAAAGCAATTTTAAGTAAATTATGCTCGTGTAAAGTGCTTTGAAAGCAATTAGGAAATATTTTCACACTTTAACAAAGCCATCTTCTTTTCTTCGTGTAAAACAAATCGATTCAGAAGAGAAGCTCATCTGCCATATTGATTTTTTTAAAATGTGTTGAGATGAAAACAGAATATATATTACTAATAATTTTTTAAGATATGAAATTAATATTTCTGAAAATATTAAAGTTTTTAATAATTGTGTAGAGAAATACGTGGGGGTTCAAATTTTTAAAGGGATTGTAAAGAGTTTCTCTAAACTTTTTAAGTGTTTAAAGGGATTGTAAAGAGGTTTTTTTTAACTTTTTATTTGTTTAAAGGGATTGTAAAGAGGTTTTTTTTTAACTTTTTATTTGTTTAAAGGGATTGTAAAGAGGTTTCAAACTTTTTATGTTTATCAGGGACACTGATAGCATCGATTTATACCATTCTAACTTTCACTCAGATATCTGTGGTTCCTGCCATGCTACTAAAACTAAGTGCTTATTGAAGTCGCTATCCCATAGGCTGTTAGATATTCTTAGAAGCTTTAGTTATAGTGGTTTTTGATCATTTTCCAAGCACAACGGCCAGATGCTTTTTCCATGTCAGCCCTCTTGACCTGCATCATTGACAGGGAAGACCAGGTGGAAAAATCTGCAGGAATATTACCTCGACCTTCGTCGGAATTGAATCCAAGACCCAGTTTAGCGAGCAAGCGTCTAACTCAGTTTACCACCGCGGCTATCAACAAAGATGTTGAATTCCATCCTCAGCACTCAGCAGGAAATTATGGAGATAATTTGAGCCTCATTAATGATTTGTAATTAATTTAATCTTAACGATGCAAATTACAGAATTATCAGAACTAACTCTTCACAAATGGAGATAAAATCATACATATCAAAAACAAGGGGGACAACTCTATCAATTAATCTTAACGTAACAGCCTCAACCTAATCAAGTTTTCCAATTAAAATTATCTTTTACTGAGATATTACATGGATTTAGAGATATTCATGTTTTTGTGAAAGATTTCTAGGAAATGACGTTGCGATAATATTTTAATCACCTTCCGTTGATTACTGAATTGTTTTTAATAAGAAAGAAACTAATTTTTGAGGATAGGTTCTGAAGGATTATTGGTCTTCGTCATAACAACTTCGATTCTCTAGAATCCTTTCAACAAGACGGCCCTTACAAATCATTCATATTTTACAACGATAACTTAGGTTCACAAGCTGGACCTTTTGGCATGGATCATTCTAGACCCATTGGACCAATTTACAACTGGGTCATCTCAATCTATCGCTTTTAAGAGTACAAATTCAACAACTGATTTGTCTGCAATAAAATGAAACCTTGAATTGACTAAAGTTTCATTTGATTTCAATTTTCAGTTCCAGCAAGTGTCTCCGATTGCACACTGCCATTCTCGTCCAATGAGTAAAATGAAATGAAATGAATGGAGTTTTACGTCCTACTTTTCTGTGGGCTAATGAAGACGGGCAACACCATGCAGGTTGCAATGAGGGAAATTTTGCCAGGACAGCGGCATTAGCCTGCTCTTTTTCGATTTCCAACTGTCGAAGGATATTTAACGTGCACAGCCTGTAGCACACAGGGCCTCGGTTTATTGTCCCATCTGAACGACTAGACGCTTTTTCTATGTCAGCCCCTCTTATCTGAATCACTAACAGGAAAACGGGGTTGAAATCGTCCAATGAGGAGCAAACATGTAAAAATTACATTACCCTTTCCTTTTACTTCCTAGAAATTTCTTTCTTTTTTTAATTGAAAGGGCATAATGAAAAGGGATTGGTGCTAGGAAAAGGACACTAATGATTGATTTTACTTTCATTTTCAATCTCCACCCACACCAAGCCTCTTTTTTACATCCTGTACATGATTCATTGACTTTGATAGAGATCAGATCAAAAGCTTTCTTATTAATAAAAAAAACAAATTTACTTTCCAAATAAGGAAAGATTGCCCATATAAGGTATTGTCGATTGCAGTTTCTTTCATAGTGAAATATGATTGGATAATATTTGAACCTATTGGGTGTGGCCTTAAAAATCACCTGATGATTTATGAGTCAATCATATTTTGATTATCAAGTCCTTTTTCCTCCTATACATTTCAATACCACTGTACCTAATGATCCTGACTACATCTACTTTAATAAAAAATTCACATCCTTTTTGCCAATGTCATCAAGTTCTTGGCTCCTAAGGTCCTTAGGTCCAATTTTAGAAAGTTAATCCTAATTTTTCAAAATGGCTGTCCTGATGAGGATTGTGTATTTGAAACATGTGTTGAAGAACATAAGATGAGCTGTATATAGTCAATGTGTTCTAGTTCTTTACATAACACATTTGCATAGTTACGTCAAACACATGGTCGTTGTGTGTTCTAATTTTGGTCAGTATGTGAAAGTCCAATGACCCAGCTGTAATCTGATACCGATAATCCGAGAAACAAAGCACCAGCTGGTAGAAAGGATCCTTAGTTAACCAAAGTTGTTATCCTTGTAAAACATAGTTGTTTTTTTCTTAAACTAAAAACGAAAGTAGGTTTAAAAATCCAAATTATTTCACCTCATTCCAAGAAACCTACGCCTCCATGTAAATAAATTTGATCATCAAAATGAAAGTAGAAACGTAGGTGGACAATATTTAACCAAGTATAACTTGGAGTATTATTTACCAGCAAGAGTAAATACTAAACTTCACTAGAGTTACAATTTTCAAATATTCTTAGCTAAATTTTACTGGTTTACTATGCTCATGTTAACAATCTATTTTTGGGCTTTTCAAGATGACCCAAGGACATTTGCACTGAATAAATTTACATAAATTAACATAAATTAACATATCTTTCAAGATGGAAATGAATAGCCACTACTGTTAGGGTCTTACGACAACTCTCTTGAATGTTTGTCAAATTTACCTTTTGACCTAATCTGATAAACACTGCGTCCCAAAATGCCAGGGCTGGAGAGGGTAGAAATCTGATTGGTTAAAACAGACATTATCAAGTTAAATCAAAAGGTTACTTTGACGAACATTCAAGTGGGCTGTCGTTAGACCTTTACTGAAGTGGTTGTAATAAAAAATAGAAGCTAATAAAAAAAAAAACGAAAGTTGCCTATTTGCAGCATCCCAATAGAAATGTGGTATATCAAAGGTAACCTCCATTAAACCTCTATTAAAATCAGAAGAATATAAAGTGTTGTGTCAACATGAATTATATTTTTCATTATCTACTTCTGTTGTTTTATCCTGAACCAAATCAATAATCAAAATATATCCTATTGATTGTACATTTAAAAACTCCTGTTTAAAAAACAGACTACAGAGAACCACAGGTGACCATTTTTTTTAGAACAGAACAAGAACAAGAACACAGAACAGAACAGAACAACAGAACAACAGAACAGAACAGAACAGAACAGAACAGAACAGAACAGAACAGAACAGAACAGAACTTCTACTTATCATGAATTTTTTTTTGTTCAATTGGTCTCACCAGATCTGAACAAATGATAACCAAGTTGTATGGTTTTTGCCACGTTTGCCAGTCATGTATGACAAAGCTTCAGAAATGACTGGCTGCAATATTGATCTCTAGGTCATTTCAAACCCATCTGAACAGATATTCCCATTTCGCTCCTTTCCAATTCATCCCAAATTTATTCCCTTTTGCCTTTTTTGAAGTGTTTAATAACAATTCGGAAATCCCCTGATAAAATATGTTACTATAAATAGATTTTAGAAAACGTAATAGGAAAGCTTGTTAAAAAGGCCCTCAGATTAGGAAACAACCACGCAATTTTGTATGTATGATTATGCAATATTTCTGATGAATCATAGCAAATTTGACAGAAGTTTTCGATAACAATTCGGAAATCCCCTGATGAAATATGTTACTATAAATAGGTTTTAGAATCATTACAGGAAACGTAATTAACACGCCCTTATATTAATCATCAGTTTTAATTGTTTTATTCTAATATTCATCCTACAATGATATAGTATTTTCACTGTTAAAATAGTACTCAATATATCAATTGTAGAGCTATATAGAAATACCACTGTTAAAATAGTGCTTAATACATCAATTGTAGAGCTATATAGAAATACCACTGTTAAAATAGTGCTCAATACATCAATTGTAGAGCTATATAGAAATACCACTGTTAGAATAGTGCTCAATACATCAATTGTAGAGCTATATAGAAATACCACTGTTAAAATAGTACTCAATACATCAATTGTAGAGCTATATAGAAATACCACTGTTAAAATAGTACTCAATACATCAATTGTAGAGCGATATAGAAATAGCACTGTTAAAATAGTACTCAATACAACAATTGTAGAGCGATATAGAAATACCACTGTTAAAATAGTGCTCAATACATCAATTGTAGAGTGATATAGAAATACCACTGTTAAAATAGTACTCAATACAACAATTGTAGGGTGATATAGAAATACCACTGTTAAAATAGTGCTTAATACATCAATTGTAGAGTGATATAGAAATACCACTGTTAAAATAGTGACAATACATCAATTGTAGAGTGATGTAGAAATACCACTGTTAAAATAGTACTCAATACATCAATTGTAGAGCTATATAGAAATACCACTGTTAAAATAGTACTCAATACATCAATTGTAGAGCTATATAGAAATACCACTGTTAAAATAGTACTCAATACATCAATTGTAGAGCTATATAGAAATACCACTGTTAAAATAGTGCTCAATACAACAATTGTACAGTGATATAGAAATACCACTGTTAAAATAGTGCTCAATACAACAATTGTAGAGTGATATAGAAATACCACTGTTAAAATAGTGCTCAATACATCAAGTGTAGAGTGATATAGAAATACCACTGTTAAAACAGTGCTCAAATACAACAATTGTAGAGTGATATAGAAATACCACTGTTAAAATAGTGCTCAATGCATCAATTGTAGAGTGATATATTATTTGCCCTTCCAGATATATTACTTGTCCCTCGAGATATATTACTTGCCCCGCGAGATATATTACTTGCCTCTCCAAATATATAACTTGCCCCTCGAGATATATTCCTTGCCCCTCTGAACCGACCGGGCATTGATGTTTGAATAATTAAAAGTGTACTTACCATGGCCTGTTCTATCTTTTTATCTATAGCTACCGCACTTGCTCCACTGAAAATAGATAAAAAATATTTTTAATAATGAGTCAAATTTTTTTTACACAAAATGGGGAAGGAATATCTATATTATCAATGAATACAACATTATCTTTATCTGTATTGAAAAATATTTAAGGGATTGTAAAGAAGTTTTCTTAACTTTATATATGTATTGGGGACACTGATGGCATCAATTTGCACCATTCCAATTTCCAATCAGACCTCTATGGTTCCTGCAATTCCACTAAAACTAAGTGTTTGATAAAGTCACTTGTTGAGAAGGGTTTTATGTGATATAGCATATTTTGCAATAAGTTTTCAGGAACCACAGATGTCTGACTAAAAATTGGAATGATGCAAATTGATGCTATCAGTGTCATTATGTATAATTGTACATAACCTGATGATTTCAATTTTGAAAAGGGATACAGATAGCTGAAATAATGCTCTACCAGCTGGTAAAGTGAATTGTTTTTTGTGTGTATTTGCATGTGTTTTTGTGTACAGTTTGTAATATTGTAATATCAAAAGGTGTAGTACTCTTGCACAACAGTTTTTTTCTTAACTTGTTTAACTAGTCACATGACTTTCACACCTGTCAACATTTTCCCGCTTTTTTCTGTCTTAACCTTTAAAATGCGAGAAAAAAAAAGTCTTGACAAAGTATGGTTTAATCTTTTAAACTAAGGAAAGAGACTTGCGTTGAATTAACCCATTAAACTCCAAGCTTAATATAATGTTATTAAATAAAGCGAATTAATTCATGGTACTTTGGGGTTAATGACAAAAAACCTGTTCCTTTTCTAAGAACACACACAAAATCTAGGACACACGCAAACAAGTTCAACATAGTTTAATTCTGACAAGATTTCTACCAATTCTAGGTGTGTGGACTCTCCAATTTGACAGACCCAGGTATCAAATAACTATTATACGCTATATGGACTCGCTATAAAGCTTAAATACCAAATGAACAGCTTTGTGGACTCTCTGAAAAGAATAAAGAGCTGACAAACCTGTACACAAACTGAACATTTTTAGGTATGTGGACTCTCTGACAGAAAAACTTATTTCACAAACCTAAATACCAAATAAACATTATTACCTATGTGGACTCTCTGAAAGAGATGCTTATTTCATAATCACAAATACCAAAATCACTACAAAATCCTTGGTCCAAATTGTGCCAAAGGTGAAAATTAGTAAGGGTCTAATCTGCATTAACCTTGTACAAAATGTGTGAAGATCAAACAGTAATCAGATTAACTGTGGCACAAGTCTTTGGAATTTCATTATCCTGTTACACATTGAGGGATTATCTTAGGATTAGGATTAGTGTGTGAGGATACAGCTCAGTTGGTATTAGCATTGAAATCTTGAGTCAGGATACACCCAAATAAAATGGTGGTTGTGGGTTTGAATTGAAGTCAGCATGTGTTGTCTGAATTTCATTATCCTGTTACATATTTCAAACGACTGAAGGACCACTGAAAGCAAATTGTTTTCATCTTTCTTAATCTGAGTGAGTACTGAATGCCCCAGCCAGTTCCTTTATAAATCAACTAGTTGACACACTGAACGTCAATTTCTTTTGAATGATGACCATCCTTAACCCTAAAGAAACCACATCAAAGGAAACCATTATTAATGAATGAATAAAGAACAGGAAAGACAAAGGGTTAGAATTTCGTCATGCACTTAAAACAAAAGGAAGACTCTTCAACGAAGAGGGTATAAAAGTGAATGAGCTGTTTGAAGGTCAAAAAGTACAAATTAATGACCATTTTGCAAATCTATGGAAATTGACCATATACTTAAAACAAAAGGAAGACTCTTCATGTTAGAAGGTATAAAAGTGAATCAGCTGTGTTAAGGTCAAAAAGTACAATTGACAATTCCGCAATTATGCAAATAGTTTTCCTTTCCGTCTCTGGTACAGCGATAAAAGTATAATCGGTATATCAAAATTTCACTATGTACTTAAAACAAAAGGAAGACTCTCCAAACTCGAAGGTAGAAAAGTGAATCAGCTATGCTTTTCATACAGCAACTATACAAGGATTACGAAACAAGTCATTCAACCTAGCTGTTAATGGGTACAGATAATCCAAGGAAAGATCTATGCCAAGGTTTGGCCAAGAACCAAGAAAGGCTCCTTTGTGAACTTAAGTTGTTATCCTCGTAAAAATGATATGAATGGGGTATTACATCCTACTTTTCTGCACTACGTGGGCTAATGAAGACAGGCAACGCCATGCAGGGTGCAATGAGGGTAATTTTGCGACATTAGACTACTCTTTTTTGATTTCAAACTGTCAAGGGATCTTTAATGTGCACAGCCTGTAGCCATGGCCTCGGTTTACTGTGCCACCGGAACGACTAGACGCTTTTTCGATGTCAGTCCCTCTGTGTTATCCTCGTAAAATATCACATGAACAATTGCATTGTAACTATAATTGGACAGCCAATTCAATTAACAACAAAACGTGCCAAAATTCATTAACTCAGTCAAAACATATCAATATCTATATGAAATTTTGGCATATATCACATGAATGATAACGTCTAGTCATGCACATTGGAATAAAGCCACGGCATTTTCAAAAATAAATCCTTTCCCCAAAAAACAAACCTCTTGATGATAATTTTGTCCTCCATTCCACGAATATATCCATACATTATCCAGCCACAAAAAAACAAACAGAGCAAAAGAACACAATATTCCAGTTGTTTGTTGACACGTAACCATGGCAACCAGAAACCCTACAGTTATCATTTTAGTTCTAATGACTGTAATGGAAACCACTGCCTGAAGATTTTACAGACTTTCATGCCAGGAGGCACGGAAGTTCATTGGAAGTCATGCTACATGAAACTGGATTACGAGGCACATGATTCAGCTAGTATTTAAAGCATACAGTTTGAATCATTTCATTCATCTTATCATTTATCCATTAATTCATTCTCTCATTCTGTTACTCAAATTATTTATTCATTTCTCATTCATTAATTTCTCATTTATTCACTCAATCAACTTATTATTTATTCATTCATTGTCTTATTTCAACATTCATTCATTCATTCACAGGTGAGAATCTGTCAATAAGAACATTCATTCATTCATTTATAAATATTCTATTTCATTCCTTCATTTCTTTATCCATACCAATATTTCATTAATTTATTTCAATATATCACCATTCATTCATTCCTTTTCATTCATTCATCCAATCACAGGTGAGAATCTGTCAATCAAGAACATTAACCCTTATCAATCAAACTCTACAGCCACCGGTCAGTCAATATCTTAACATTAACCCATTGAACTCCATGAACTTTTCAACTGTTGTCAATACAATACTAGATCAATTACAACCGTAACAAAAGGGTTAAAAACATGGTGGGAAATAGATATGGAGGGGATGGGGGGGGGGGGGGCTAGTCATTTTGAGGCTTTGAAATTTTGTTATTGGAGGGGGGTGGGGAGTGGAGGGGTTTGAATTGAAATGGAAGTTTCACATTCTACTTTTCTGCAAGGATCAACTCCAATCTAGAGCTCTAATGACTAGAAGTTTCACATTCTACTTTTCTGCATTTGATTTGTTTATAAAGGCTGGCTGTGTGCAATGAGGGAAATTTGTCTGACTGGCTGCATTAGCCTGCTCTTTTTCAATTTCAACCTGTTGAGGGGTCTTTAACGTGCACAGCCTGTAGCACACAGGGCCTCGGTTTATTGTCTCTGAATGACTAGACGCTTTTTCCATGTCAAATAATAATGAAATAATATACAGTTTCAAGTCTTATTAATTTTCACCTTAGGTGGTTGATTAAGTTAACAACATCATGCAGTGTGCAATGAGGAAAATTTGCCAGGAGAGCACCATAATAGACTATTCAACATCATGTTTGATTCCATTTTCTGCATCTTAAGAAATTTGCAATATCCTGAAGTGTGCAATGAAGGAAATGTTGCAAGAACAAGACATGAAATAATGGAATTTTCACACATTGACATTTGCAGGAATCTCAGCGCCAAGGTAATTCTTCCTGAACACCCACTCATTTTCTCACCTGTTCGGGTTTTATGTGATAAACACAACTGGTATCACAATCCTTAACATTTCAAAAACAACATTTTAGCAGAAGTGTAAACAATGACAATATAAGTTCTAAGACTGGATAAACCCTTAACTTTCAGGAATTCTTTTAACATTAAAAAATTCTCTCAGAATTTATGCTGCTGGTAGCAAAGGTGGAAAAATGACAATATAAATACTATGTCTAAAATTCCAAATATTGATCTTTCTCCCAAAAATAAAACCTCTTGCTACCCTGAACATTTTAAAAAACAACATTCAGGAATTCTTTTAATATTATATAATTCTCTCAGAATTGATGCTGTCAGTAGCAGAAGTGGAAAATTGACAATACAACTCCAAATATTGATCTTTCAAAATTTCTGATAATGGTGAAAGAATTTTCCCCAAATTTTAACTCACATTAACAAAATTCCTGCATCTCAATTCCAGGGAAAAAAGGACTAAAAAATCAATACAGACCTGTACTGTTCACAATCAAACCCAATTGTCAATTGATTGTTGAGAGAAATTACGCTACACGCCATTTTCCTACTGCAATATACTTCCTTAGTTATATTACACTGTGGTATACGAGGTTAATAATGCCCTGTTGAATTGATAATGCTCTGTATTACTATGGTATATTGAGCAATTATACTATATACTGTATGTTAACTGCTAGCATACTTTGTATCTAATAAACTTTCAAGCAAGTCCAACCTGTATATAATACACATCTCACCGGGCTATTTTTAGATATCCTCTAGGGTCAAGGTCATTACAATAAATCTTAAAGGCAATCGGGCGTCAAATTTAACCGGTAGTGTAAATCATGCGAGTGGGCGGGGTCTTAGCGTGATACAAGTGTTTTCACAGTGTTTCAGTGTTTATTTGCATTAGCCTTTCTCCCTCTTAAGAACATCATGAGAAATAGTG